GCTGTTACTACAGAGACAACTTAACTTACTGCTAAGCCTGGAGTTTTATTATCAGCCTCTTTTCTTCTTCTCTCCTGGAGCTCTCTCATGAAGCATCTTAGTCCTCTCTAACACCTCTAGCACTCCCAGTGCCATTTGCTCATTTTGGAAATATCCAACTTCTAATCAGTCTAAATTTAAGACCAAAAATGAGTTTTAAATAAAAAATGTGGCAGAAAAGGGTACTTATCTAAATGGAATGCTCTCAGACTCATACATTTTAAAAAGGTATAAATTTCAAAAGCAGACACTAAATTTTAATTGCAATCTCAGAGAAAGCTTTTGTATTAATTCACTGAGAGAAATTAGCAAAGCGAAAATTGCTTATTGGGGATTTTCTTTCTTTTTAGTCATGATACATATCATAATTCTATACACCACGGTAATTTTCAGAGGTAGAAGGATTTCTATTGATTAATGAGGAGGCGGAGGAGAAGGGCTGTGGCTGAAGACGTGCACTCCTTCTCCACAGGCACTTTCTGTAACACATTAGTGACAGTCTTGTCACAGATAACTCAAGCTCAGTCTTTGGCTCAGATTTCAGGCTGCTCTTTAAGCCACTCTAGCATCGTGGTTTTTCCTTTCCCTGTCATTTTTCAGTATTGATTTCTACTACTGTTCAAGTTCTTGCTTAATAGCAAATGCACAGTAATATATAATTAATATCTGAAGGTAAAGATAGAGTTACCAGAAAAAAAATCAAAGGAAAAGGGAAGGGGTGAGAAGGACAAAGGTCACTTTTCCCTTCAAAAACATTAGTTAGTATATTCTGTACCAATTAGGAAGACACATACAACCTACCCCCATGTGACAGGAAGATGTTCCACAGATCATAGCAAGTCGGGAGGTAATTGGCTGGTTCTCACATGGCAGGTTATGTCCTTTCACATCTGCTCCAATTACTCCTATTAAAAGAAAATCAAAATTCCCTTTTAAAGAAGAACAAGCCACCCCTCACCAAACAGAGCTCTTCTGCACACACATGACTGCTGAGTATCTTACACCACTGCCACAAATCAAAAAGTCTACTTAGTCAATAAAAGACTTTATCCATCAGATTAACATTTTTGTTCCAGATAAGAGGACACAAGATAATTTCTTCTATGTTCATGTTTATCATCAGAATTTTTAAGTCTTGTTTTGCCTATAACCTGACTTTATTCTCCTAGGCAGCACACTGACATGCAGCATAAAGAGTGCCCTGCTGTAACGGCAGGACAGCAGGCTGCAGATGTGTTTATTTGTTCACAGTTTATCATGCACATACTGGATGATGTGTTTTGTCAGGGGATGAGTTGGAGAAACGGGTAACTTGGCAGGAGACTGGAAGACTGCCAGTTTTGTTGTCTTCACTGCTGCTGCTATTCTGTCCATGTCAGAACCATCTAAAGGAAGATTATTCCTGCCCTGAGAGGAGCTGAGCTTGGCTCTGAGGAGCCTCTGCGTGCAGGACAGGACAACAGGGAGGACAAACTCTGCAAGCACTCAGCATGCACCAGAAGATTCACCCAGGAGATGCCAGAGAGGAGCCAGGCAGACCTACAGCCAAGTTTCAGCATATGCTGCTTAATTCCCTTCAGGGGAGGCTACAGTGGGAATCCTGCCCTCTCCTCCCCCTTGGCTGCATTCTTGCATCGCATTGTGCTGCACCCAGCAAAATGCAACAGAACAACAAGGAACAGTCTTTTATTTGTCTTTTTTTCTCTTGAGCATTACTTTTCAGCTGGCAAACAGCTCACCAGACTCTGCATCTGCAATTTGCAGTCCAGTTACCAGTTTGCCATTATCTTTCCCCTCACTGTAGCAGGACCATGAAGGCATTTCCTGGGCATTGTGAAAGATGCCAAGTGTTATGGCTGGTTTGATTCCTAGATTTTATTAACACCTTCATGTTTAGGTCACCACTGCAACTTTCTGTTACCAAAATGGTCTGTTGGGGTTGTTCTTATCATGACTACCATGGTTATCATGGCATTTTCATGGTTGGAAGTCATCTAAATAATCAGAATATGAAGGGATTAAATTTTAGAGTCTTCAGTAATCCTTATGTCACTTTATCTGAGCTGGTTGTACCTATGTAGTAGCACAGCTGCCATACAACAGAATTAGGAACAGCAGAAAGCTAAAAGTATGACTTCTACCTCTTATGCTTTATTTTTCACTGCTCCAACATGACATGTATGAGTTCATATTAAGAATTTTGGATAGTTTTGTCTACAAGGCAATTTCCTGTGCTAAGCAACACTGTATTAGTTTCTTAAATGAGTTACAATTACTGTTCATGCTTGAGAGGGAATAAATCTATTAAACTGAATTGTCAGCATATGTTGCAAATGCATTTTCATAAACAACACAAAATTGAAGAGCTCATGTTTAGGTATTTTTTAATCACTAAGAAAATACACATGCAGCAGAACAGGCATTCTGGGCCTTTTAGAAATCAGTGGGGGTTTTGTCAGTGGCTTTACTAGTGTTTAATGTTGCTAGAGTCTTCCTACTTGTGATTAATTGAAGTCAGACAGCAAATAAGTCTGGAACATTCTCATAACAATGAAAGCTTAGATATTTTATTAGCTAAAAATAATATAATTGCTGTTATAATTCACTTTCACCTTTAACTTAGTTAGAATTTTTCATAGTCTGAGGCAGACTGAAAATCTTTTGAAGATTCAAGAGAGAGACTGAGAACAAGAAGTCTGTATACCACACAGAATACAGAAGAGATTGTAGGAAAGCAGGCAATGGTTAGCATGTGTACTTCTGGATCTCTTCCACAGTGACACAGGATTTTAGATACTGTACAATAAACTATCTACTTTTGCTGAAACAATGCTGATGTCTTTTGCAAAGGTGCAATGGAAACAGGCCCAAGAGCCCAAAAGCCTGGCCTCCCACACTCACATTTTTGTCTGGAGGCTTTTAAATTGGTATAGTAGGACAAAAAGTAAGATATAACTACTCATCTCTTAGAATTTTACTCTTCCATAATAGGTATCAGATGGACTGATCCAGGAGTCATACATGACCTTTACAAACATACATATTAAATAATCCTTTACCTTATTTTACTCAAAAATTTGAAGCCTTCATAAAGTTCAGGGACCTGCCCAGCAAACCCACACTTTATATACAGCCAAAAGCAGATCTGAACTGCATTAGAAGTTATTAACACTGAAAAGAAGATGTCCATCACATCATGTCATTCTGGTTTTGCCTGCAGGATACGAAAGAGCCTCTTCATTACTCTGCTGTTACAGACTATTTTTAAAACAACCAGCAGAATGTGTTCAAGAATAAGAATAATGACACCCACTGGATGTTGTTGTCCCACAGACTAATCTAGCATTTACTACTGTACAAGTCATATCCTTCAAACCAATTGTGAACCTCAATATTTCAACACCGATCACAGAAGGGCAAACACTTACTCAGCACCTTTTCAAAACAGTTTTTCATCAACTACAAGAGTTATTTATTTCCAGTATTTTCACATTTTACTTCACTGTTTCAAATGTCTCTTCTCTATTTTCTTTTCTTCTATGCTCTTGTTATCATTCTTAAAAGGTTTATATACACATTACCGCCCTTAATCTCTTTTAATCAGAACACAGTTTCACTTCCTAGTTCTGGTATCTGTCTCCTCTTTTAGCTTTCCTTTTTCTTCCTTCAGGATTTTCAGCTCTGTATTCTACACAGTGTAGGTTACATGAGACTTGAACAAGATTAAGGTTCTTGTTATGAACAGCTGAAGATGAAGGAGAGCCATTCAGGATTTGAGATGCAGTCACAGCATTCTGTTTACATATACTTGCACTCTTCAACTTTCCTTTTGCTCCTGCTGTCACTTTTGCTATCCAAATCTTTTAATTTTTACTGTCTTTTCTACTAGTTTCCCCAACTATTTATTACACTTCCCAGATGCAGGGAGGATGAGTTCCATCTTAAATCTTCCTCTTGTCCCAGCCTGTACTGAGCTCTCTTGTGATTATCATGCAGGTTCTCCCACTGCCTTACAGACTCTTCCCTCTGTAATGTGTCTCTCCCTCTCTAACAACAACCTATATGCTGGGGGTTTTTTTCTCCTGGCAATCATTTCAGTAGTCTGTTAGTGTTTGTGGTGCCATCTGGGAAAACATATTTGGATAAACAGGACTAGCATAAGCAGACTGTCTCGATCCACTGAAGCCTTTCTCTGATGGATGCCAGTAGCTATGTATTTCTAACATTAGAGTTTCTCTACATACGTCTGTAACAAAAGAACAGACAGTTGCTCTCTATTCTTCTTTAAATTCAACTGATTGATTTCAGCACATGAAATTTAGAGGGCAACTGGTGCTCTGAATCCAGTGCTCACAGAATGATGCCAGTGAAACAAGGACCCTCCACTGCCGTTTTCACATGCTCTGTGACAACTCAGTTTTGTAGCAAGTTCATTATTTCCTATCAGATTATTATTAGGTCCTTTTCCAAGACCACAGAACTTCCAAGGTACAAAGTTTTAAATACATTTTTATGCAATCACGATACTAATTGACACAAATAGATTTTTAAGTCAGTGACAAAAGCAGGGGCACAACACACCTACAACTATGACAGATGTATCTGTCATATATCTGTCGATTTTGCAGATAGATCTGTATCTAATCCTTCAGAGGTAGTAAGAAAAGCAATCTACATGATTACTGAGCCTCATCAAAAACACTTATCAGAAGCAAAGGGACTTAAACGTTTAAAAAGTTCCAGGTCACAACTTCTAGAAGAACAAATGAGATTTTAAACAGCACCAAATATTTGAAACAAAACTGAAAGTTTAGCAGCTAATCATATTTCAGTTAGATCTAGACAAAAATTCTCTGATGAGCAATAGGTTTCCATTGAAGAGCATGTTTCAATAACATTGAAACTTCCTGAGGTAAAGACTTTTTTC